GAGAGAACAGAGGAGAGAACAGAGGAGAGAACAGAGGAGAGAACAGAGGAGAGAACAGAGGAGAGAACAGAGGAGAACAGAGGAGAGAACAGAGGAGAGAACAGAGGAGAGAACAGAGGAGAACAGAGGAGAGAACAGAGGAGAACAGAGGAGAGAACAGAGGAGAACAGAGGAGAGAACAGAGGAGAGAACAGAGGAGAGAACAGAGGAGAGAACAGAGGAGAGAACAGAGGAGAGAACAGAGGAGAACAGAGGAGAGAACAGAGGAGAGAACAGAGGAGAGAACAGAGGAGAGAACAGAGGAGAGAACAGAGGAGAGAACAGAGGAGAACAGAGGAGAGAACAGAGGAGAACAGAGGAGAGAACAGAGGAGAACAGAGGAGAGAACAGAGGAGAGAACAGAGGAGAGAACAGAGGAGAGAACAGAGGAGAGAACAGAGGAGAACAGAGGAGAGAACAGAGGAGAACAGAGGAGAGAACAGAGGAGAGAACAGAGGAGAGAACAGAGGAGAGAACAGAGGAGAACAGAGGAGAGAACAGAGGAGAACAGAGGAGAGAACAGAGGAGAACAGAGGAGAGAACAGAGGAGAGAACAGAGGAGAGCAGAGGAGAGAACAGAGGAGAACAGAGGAGAGAACAGAGGAGAACAGAGGAGAGAACAGAGGAGAGAACAGAGGAGAGCAGAGGAGAGAACAGAGGAGAGAACAGAGGAGAGAACAGAGGAGAACAGAGGAGAGAACAGAGGAGAACAGAGGAGAGAACAGAGGAGAACAGAGGAGAGAACAGAGGAGAGAACAGAGGAGAGAACAGAGGAGAACAGAGGAGAGAACAGAGGAGAACAGAGGAGAGAACAGAGGAGAACAGAGGAGAGAACAGAGGAGAACAGAGGAGAGAACAGAGGAGAACAGAGGAGAGAACAGAGGAGAACAGAGGAGAGAACAGAGGAGAGAACAGAGGAGAGAACAGAGGAGAACAGAGGAGAGAACAGAGGAGAACAGAGGAGAGAACAGAGGAGAGAACAGAGGAGAGAACAGAGGAGAGAACAGAGGAGAGAACAGAGGAGAACAGAGGAGAGAACAGAGGAGAACAGAGGAGAGAACAGAGGAGAACAGAGGAGAGAACAGAGGAGAGAACAGAGGAGAGAACAGAGGAGAACAGAGGAGAGAACAGAGGAGAACAGAGGAGAGAACAGAGGAGAGAACAGAGGAGAGAACAGAGGAGAGAACAGAGGAGAGAACAGAGGAGAGAACAGAGGAGAGCAGAGGAGAGAACAGAGGAGAGAACAGAGGAGAACAGAGGAGAGAACAGAGGAGAGAACAGAGGAGAGAACAGAGGAGAGAACAGAGGAGAGAACAGAGGAGAACAGAGGAGAGAACAGAGGAGAGAACAGAGGAGAGAACAGAGGAGAGAACAGAGGAGAGAACAGAGGAGAGAACAGAGGAGAGAACAGAGGAGAGAACAGAGGAGAGAACAGAGGAGAACAGAGGAGAGAACAGAGGAGAGAACAGAGGAGAGAACAGAGGAGAGAACAGAGGAGAACAGAGGAGAGAACAGAGGAGAGAACAGAGCCGCTGAGAGTGGACAGAAGACACTCCGGCTGGAGGAGACGCTTCTGTTCATCAAAGGATCTGGGATAAACTGCATCAGTTTCCACAAAAACACTGATAATCATAAATGTTTCTTGATCATCAGATCCTCATATTAGAGTGATTTCTGAAGGATCATGTGACACTGAAGACTGGAGTAATGATGCTGAAAATACAGCTTTGATCACAGGAATAAATTACACTTTACTGTATATTCACATAGAAAACAGATGATTTACACTGGAATAATATTTCACTGTTTTACAGTATATATTCAATTCAATTCGATCAATTTCAATACGGCACATAATTCCCCTTTAATAGATCATGTATCAAACGCGTTAAAGTCCCCGTGAACCGGAAGTTGCAAACGACTTTTCTCCAGTGTTGTGACGTATTTCCGAGAGAAACGGAATACTAATGAGGCAAAATGGTGGGCGTGGCTTTTCCCCAAACTAGCACCTGATTGGATCTAGAAAAGTAGGTGTTTTCATTCAGCCTGTCTACTGTCAGTTGGAGGGGCGTGATTACGGATGTTAAGAAGACGCCCAAACCGTGAAACCTACGTCATCAGGCAAGGTCCTCCAACGCAGAGGGGAGGGGAAATTTCAGATCTTGATTAAAGATTACGAAGCCAAAAAATTTTTTTGTGTGGATTGACTTGCATGGATGAATTGTTCACCACAAAACGATCAATTTAGGCAAACAAAGTAAGTATGGTCAATTTTGAATTCATGGGGACTTTAAAGGGGTCATATAATGCCATTTTTGTACAAGCTAATATGATTCTTTAGGGACTAAATTAAAAGTTTGTAATATACTTTAATTAAAAATTCTCATTAGTATTGTAAGAAAACACTTATTTTACCTGGTCAAAAACAGCTCTGTTTTCAGCACGCCGTTTCAGTGCATGTGCCTTTAAATGATCATGAGCTTTGCTGACTCCGCCCCTCTGTTCTATGCGTACACCAGAGCTCTGGCGTACACCATTTGTAACACAATACCATAACGTGTTGTTCATTATAAACGTGGGATTATGAATTATATGGAGAACGTCGTACATAGAAAACATGCAGTAATGTACCCTGAGTGTAAACCTTAGACTCATTCATCGTGAAGCGATTTGCAAAGATAAATATTAATATAAAGTTTAATAAAACGTTACACTCACTTCAGTTGTTCTAGAGGTTCAGCAGGAACACGAATATCTGGTACCGATTCTTTATTCATGAGCAGCAGCTTAGCAAAACCAGCTTTATACTGACCCTCGTCTATAAAGCAGTCTGGTGAGAAATGATTCGCGCAAACATGAGAGCATTGACGTTGCTCGTGGGGAATATTCCCTTCGAAAACAAACTCAGCCACTGCGTCTTCAGCGGTTCGGATTTAGGAACATTAAAATGACTGTGTTCGTTATTACACCCAAGAACAGAACACCACAATCGCTTAGACGCCATTCTGCTCATAGACAGCTCCAGCATATCAACAATGACCGCGCCGGTCCGCGCAGACTATGATTGACAGCTCTCACGAGCGAGGGCGGGTCTGTGTTGAGACGCTCCTGTCAATCAACAATCGTGGGAGGGGCGTGCGAGCTTGTGACGTCACACGGTCGAACGGCTGGATTTGAGGCAGGGGAAAACATATAAGGAGATTAAAACAAAACCACTGGATGGATTTTTATCATTATATGATGGTTGTGTACAGACACTGCCAACACACATTTCAGTACAATCAACTTGTGAAAGTGCATGTACCATTATATGACCCCTTTAAGTTCAGATGCTGTGAGAAACGCGTCTGCTTTCCCCAAGCCTTCATCACACGGCATCGATTTATGAGTCCATGACAAACAAAATACTTCCATATTCAATCCTGTATTCCCAGTGTTGCTCAGAATATGATGATTATATGATAGTGTGGTCGCCCACAGATGCTGGACACCATCATCACCACTGAAACGGCGGAGTAATGAGCAGAATCACCAGTTCCAGATCAGACCACACTAATATTACACCGCTGGCATGAGCAGGGGAAATAAGCAGAATTATTCAAGCGTTTTGGGATTATAATCTGACAATTTCTGTTTTTCTATCGTGAAATTTAGATAATTGTATTCATTTTTTCAAATATTATAAGATCAATTAAATATTCAAACTGTTAAGATGAGTGTTGATTAATGACATGTATTCCTGATGACTTTAATCATTAGCTCTCTTGATCCTGTCTTATAAGCATTTTTAGTTTGTCTAATCGTTTAATTTTTTTTTTTGTCTTGTGTTTCATCAAAATTATTTGTGGATGTGATTAATATGCTTAAAAAGATTATACTGTATGTGGATACTTGCTGAGGAACATATTCAACTGAAGCTGACATGAGTGATTCTGAACACCTCAAATGTTGAACATTCACTAATCTTGATGATGCCAAAATAATGAATTGTTTAAATGGATGATTAATCATCTAACGCTGACGGAGGCCTGCGAGTCCAGACATGCGTTATTATGAGTGTGGATCATAGATCATTTATACATTCACATAGAAAACAAACATTATAATAATATCTGAGGTTTTGATCTAATAACTGAATATCGCGCAGATTAAACGCCAGAGACGAGACTCACACCATTACCCAGAGTGCATCTGTTCGTGATCACTGAACCTAAGGTCAGGCTTCAGACGCACATCTGCGATACACTTTTGTGGAAGCTGTTGCTAGGGTGTTGCCAAGGTCATCACTGTGATCTGATGCCACTTGAGCTCATGACTGAAGATCACAACATTAACACTGATCTGAAGAACAGACTCTTTCTGTTAGTTATCATCGTTTCAATGCGCTCAAAACAAGCATGTCTCCGGAACTTCCCTTATTTCATGAATTAATGAGTTTTTACACGCAAGATCTTGATAAGCAACATGGAAGACTAGATCACAGATGAAGGACTAGAAGCAATAACACTAAACTTCACTAATGATGTTCTATTGAGAGGAACAGAAAGTTATAATGAACCAAACAGAGGAAAGGCCTCAGAGAAGCTCTAGCTAACATTCATCAGTGATGAAGATGATGAAGATGATGATCTTAGACGGGGACTGCAGATGTAAAATAGCCTTTGGGCTAATTCGGGCATATTTACATTGCTGAAAAGCTAAGATGTCCACTGTCCCTTTTAAATAAATAAATTAAATAAATAAATAAAAATGATGAAGATGATGTAAATGTGACCTTTGATAGACTGAAGGATGAAGAGTCTCAGATTGAACATGAGCTGAGGTTGATGAAAACATCTCTAACTCTGGGTATTAAACACTACAGTAGACAGGAGCACTAGCGAACACACACACACACACACACACACACACACCTGTCAAACTACACAACAACATCAGTCTGAGGTAATGAGGGATCTTACCTGTGACAGAGTCGCGAGCTCATCAGAGACGAGCGTCAGACACGCGTTTAGTCCAGAACTCTACAGAACACGGGCGTCAGACACGCGTTCAGTCCAGAACTCTACAGAACACGAGCGTCAGACACGCGTTTAGTCCAGAACTCTACAGAACACGGGCGTCAGACACGCGTTTAGTCCAGAACTCTACAGAACACGGGCGTCAGACACGCGTTTAGTCCAGAACTCTACAGAACACGGGCGTCAGACACGCGTTTAGTCCAGAACTCTACAGAACACGGGCGTCAGACACGCGTTTAGTCCAGAACTCTACAGAACACGGGCGTCAGACACGCGTTTCACTCGCGGCTCGATCGTCATCTCCAGCATCAGCGGCGGCTCGCGAGTTTTAATAGAGGAGGCGTGGCTCTAGTCGCTGTAGCCACGCCCACACCGGAGCTCAGTGAGGATCGATCTACGTAATTTAAAATAGCGTAAAATAGCGCTCTTTGTGTCCAAATACCGCTGCTTTTATAGAAAGAAATATTTAAATAAATGAGTAATCCAGTGTATCTATAGGCTAATTCATTTCCATCCCGCTTTTTAGTTTAACGATTCACTCCAAACAAATGCCACACTGTCAGTCTTCACACAGTATTACAAATTAATAAAAAAATGGAATTAGAGTTAAATGACAAGAACAAAACGTCACTGTCTGCGTTAAGCGGTGACGTCAGCGAGTGCGTTCGTCACGCAGATGCAGCAGACATGCGCAGACAGCATGCGTTTTTAATATAGAACATATTCCCAAATAAAGTTAATCAGATTTTTTCTTTTTACATTTAAACGCTACAGTATTGTTTAAAAGCATTTCCTCGTATATATTAAAATAATTGGTTTCTTTTCCATCCCATAATATATCAAAGGCCAATTCCTCCGAGCTGTACAACTACATGTACCTTCCTCTTAATAAAGTTTGCCATTTTCCAACACATTAGGACTCAAATAATACAATTTCATGTTTTCAAAAGAGTCTTGTTTCTTTTATTTTCCTTTTGATGGTTTTTGTCCATCATGGGAACAAAGAGCAACTTTTACTGTTACTTTCCCTCAGTCTCTTCATACTGTCAGAGAAAAACTAATAAAGCTTTTTAAAAATTAAATTTGAAATGAGTTGTATTTTATTTAAAAATAATTTAGTATTTTATTGTTTTGTTGAACTACGTTTTAAAACATGAAAAACTGTTTTAAATTTTCCATTTTTATGTTTGGATTGATAAATTATTCATAAATCATCTTCTCGTATGTGTCATTGGCGCCACCTATTGGCCGTCAGATGAAAATGGGTTTATTGTTTTTTTATCTCCAACATATTCAAAAACCTGAACAACTCATTTATGAATAGATGTGAGTATATGCTGGTCTAACTGTTTGAAACAATGCATCTTAAATTCCTAATGTTAAACTTTGACACTCATTCAGAAAACACATGTCACTCATAATAAAATAAAACCTTGACAACAGGAGCATTAGATGAATCCTGAATTTTTATCTTTGAAGTTTGAATGATTTTTTTCCCCACATACATCAGTATTTCATTATAGAATAAGATTTTGTAGTCCAGTATATGTAACAAGACTGAATGATTTTATTTCTATATCTTTAGTTTACATATAATAATTTACTTGCTAAAAACAAAAAGTTGGAAAAAAACTCATGAAGCAATAATAATTACAAAACATAAACAAAAGCAATTTTATTGTAAATATTTTGCTAAGCTTTTATATTTCAATATAATTCTTGCCGAGATGTATCAGTTTTGAAAGCAGTGTTAGGATATACACTCACCTAAAGGATTATTAGGAACACCTGTTCAATTTCTCATTAATGCAATTATCTAATCAACCAATCACATGGCATTTGCTTCAATGCGTGAGCATGCAATGAGTCTCGATTTCTGTTGAGACATTCAGATGGTAGAGTCAGAATTTGGCGTAAACAGAATGAGAACATGGATCCATCATGCCTTGTTACCACTGTGCAGGCTGGTGGTGGTGGGGTAATGGTGTGGGGGATGTTTTCTTGGCACACTTTAGGCCCCTTAGTGCCAATTGGGCATTGTTTAAATGCCACGGCCTACCTGAGCATTGTTTCTGACCATGTCCATCCCTTTATGGCCACCATGTACCCATCCTCTGATGGCTACTTCCAGCAGGATAAGGCACCATGTCACAAAGCTCGAATCATTTCAAATTGGTTTCTTGAACATGACAATGAGTTCACTGTAATAAAATGGCCCCCACAGTCACCAGATCTCATCCCAATAGAGCATCTTTGGGATGTGGTGGAACGGGAGCTTCGTGCCCTGGATGTGCATCCCACAAATCTCCATCAACTGCAAGATGCTATCCTATCAATATGGGCCAACATTTCCAAAGAATGCTTTCAGCACCTTGTTGAATCAATGCCACGTAGAATTAAGGCACTTCTGAAGGCGAAAGGGGGTCAAACACAGTATTAGTATGGTGTTCCTAATAATCCTTTAGGTGAGTGTACATGTCTTCAGTGCCGACCGATGAACACCCTGTGGCTGTGCTGAGATCCCTGTAGCTGTGATCCAGACTCTCCACTAGATGGAGACACAGTCAAGGGAAGGAGTCGTCACTCTATAGAGTTTACAACTGAGAAAAAAACAGTAAGAGACAGAATTGCTGCTTTATTAGCAACATGAAATTGCTGTCAGTGATCAACAAAACCAAACAGACAAACATACATGGCCTTTGGTTCAAAGTGTGCAAAAAATAAAACAAAGGTCCAACTAGTCCTCTTCCTCGTCCAACTAGTCCCTCTTCCTTGTCCAACTAGTCATCGTTCTCACCCATCTAGTCCTCTTCCTGGTCTAACTAGTCCACTGGTCCAACTAGTCCTCTCCCTGGTCCAACTAGTCTTCTTCCTGGTCCAACTAGTCTTCTTCCTGGTCCAACTATTCCTCTTCCTGGTCCAATTAGCCATCTTCCTGGTCAACCTATTCCTCTTTCTCGCCAAACTTGTCCTCTACCTCATCCAAATAGTCCTCTCCCTGGTCCAACTAGTCCTCTCCCTGGTCCAACTAGTCCTCTCCCTGGTCCAACTAGTCCTCTCCCTGGTCCAACTAGTCCTCTCCCTGGTCCAACTAGTCTTCTTCCTGGTCCAATTAGCCATCTTCCTGGTCCAACTATTCCTCTTCCTCGCCAGACTTGTCCTCTACCTCATCCAAATAGTCCTCTCCCTGGTCCAACTAGTCCTCTCCCTGGTCCAACTAGTCCAGTCCCTGGTCTAACTAGTCCAATGGTCCAACTAGTCCTCTCCCTGGTCCAACTAGTCCTCTCCCTTGTCCAACGAGTCCCCTTGCTGGTCTAAAAAGTCCTCTACCTGGTCCAACTAGTCCTCTGCATGGTCGAACTAGTCCTCTCCCTGGTCAAACTAGTCTTCTGCATGGTCTAACTAGTCCTCTCCCTGGTCCAACTAGTCCTCTCCCTGGTCCAACTAGTCCTCTCCCTGGTCCAACTAGTCCTCTCCCTGGTCCAACTAGTCTTCTTACTGGTCCAATTAGCCATCTTCCTGGTCAACCTATTCCTCTTTCTCGCCAAACTTGTCCTCTACCTCATCCAAATAGTCCTCTCCCTGGTCCAACTAGTCCTCTCCCTGGTCCAACTAGTCCTCTCCCTGGTCCAACTAGTCCTCTCCCTGGTCCAACTAGTCCTCTCCCTGGTCCATCTAGTCTTCTTCCTGGTCCAATTAGCCATCTTCCTGGTCAACCTATTCCTCTTTCTCGCCAAACTTGTCCTCTACCTCATCCAAATAGTCCTCTCCCTGGTCCAACTAGTCCTCTCCCTGGTCCAACTAGTCCTCTCCCTGGTCCAACTAGTCCTCTCCCTGGTCCAACTAGTCCTCTCCCTGGTCCAACTAGTCTTCTTCCTGGTCCAATTAGCCATCTTCCTGGTCCAACTATTCCTCTTCCTCGCCAAACTTGTCCTCTACCTCATCCAAATAGTCCTCTCCCTGGTCCAACTAGTCCTCTCCCTGGTCCAACTAGTCCAGTCCCTGGTCTAACTAGTCCAATGGTCCAACTAGTCCTCTCCCTGGTCTAACTAGTCCTCTCCCTTGTCCAACGAGTCCCCTTGCTGGTCTAAAAAGTCCTCTACCTGGTCCAACTAGTCCTCTGCATGGTCGAACTAGTCCTCTCATTGGTCAAACTAGTCTTCTGCATGGTCTAACTAGTCCTCTCCCTGGTCCAACTAGTCCAGTCCCTGGTCTAACTAGTCCAATGGTCCAACTAGTCCTCTTCCTGGTCCAACTAGTCATCTCCCTGGTCCAACCAGTCCCCTTGCTGGTCTAAATAGTCCTCTACCTGGTCCAACTAGTCCTCTGCATGGTCTAACTAGTCCTCTCCCTGGTCCAACTAGTCCTCTGCATGGTCTAACTAGTCCTCTCCCTGGTCCAACTAGTCTTCTGCATGGTCTAACTAGTCCTCTCACTGGTCCAACTAGTCTTATAACTTATTGTCACTATTATCTTTTTTTTTTTAACCCTCTGGGGTTGTTCGGCCCAAATGGACCCGAATCATTCAAATAAAAAAATGTTAAAAATCACAGCTTCTTCGGAATGGTCCGAAATTTGGTGACTTTGTTGGTATTTGGTATGTGAACACCCAAAAAAATTGGGGACAGGATGTGAACAGTCTAAGTGGTTGTAAAAAAAATAGTCACACTCAGGACCTTCGGGTCCAAATGGACCCCCATAGGAAATGAATGGGAAATTGGCAAAAATGTGAAAAAACTGAGTTTTTTGGTGCGTACAATCTACAAATCAGCCACAATCCATAAAAAAAGCACACAACAGTGAAGGGGTGAATCTATAAAACATCAAGAGTGCAAAACAGACACATCCACACACACACACACACACACACACTTTTATACACATACATACTCATAATTTCAGATTACATAAATCTGTTTTGAATTTTTAAAAATCACAGCTTAATCGGAATGTTACGAAACTAGGTGACTTTTATGGTATTAGGTATGTGAACACACACAAAAAAAATGGGGACAGGATCTGAATAGTCTAAGTGGTTGTAAAAAAATAGTCAAACTCAGGACCTTCGGGTTCAAATGGACCCCCATAGGAAATGAATGTGAAATTGTCAAAAATATGAAAACACAGATTATTCAATATGAAAACACAGACTATTCAAATAGAATAGTCTATTTGAATAGTCTAAGTGGTTGTAAAAAAAAAAAAAAAATACTCACACTTAGGACCTTCGGGTCCAAATGACCCCCATTGGAAATGAATGGGAAATTGTCAAAAATATGAAAACAGTTTTTTTGTGCATTCAATATACAAATCAGCCAGAATGCAGAAAAAATGACTCAACGGTGAAGGGGTGAATCTCTAAAACATCAAGAGTGCAAAACAGACACACACATACACACACACACACACACACACACTGTATTATATATTTATGATAATCTGTATTATAAAGTAAAACTGGCACTTCAAATTACCATTTAAACCAACCAAACAAACAAAAAACAAGACAAAAATAGTCTTTGAGAATCTGTTATTATATTTTAAAAATGAACAACCTGAAAAAAAATTGGTATATATTTGCAAAAATCACTAGAATCCCCAAGCCTTTCTACAGAGAGCTGTAAATCCACTAGTGGTAAAAATGTGCTATTGCGTGATAAAAATGCTCAGTGTGTCCACCAGATGGCATCTATATTTTTTCAAAAATTGCTTTCATGAGGCCTAGGCTTCACTCTAAAATGTAATACAGCTTTGATCGTTTAAAAAAAAAAAAAAAAAAATCTATTATGTTCAATGGGAAAAAAATGGGTCATAATTATTGCATAAATATTAATTATAAATCATAAAATATCTCAAAACACCAAAAAAGAAAAGATTTTTTTTTATATATAAAAAACAAGTAAAAATAAAAAAAATTATGATTTTTTTTTAAAAATATGAATCCTGCCCTTTGGGTCCATTTGAACACCCCGAACACCCCAAGTGTGACTGTTAAACGAACAACCCCAGAGGGTTAAATAATTATTATTGTTATTATTATTATTTGTTACTATTATTATTATAGTGTGTATTGAGGTCCGATGACGATGCGCGCCCCCTGTAGGTCAGGCTGCGCACGCGCGTGTGTAGAAGCTCCGCCCAGAGATTCATGTGCTCCGGTGCTCCGGTGAATCAGACAGAGTCCCGTTCAGAGTCTAAGCGCGGCAACACAGAGAAAGAGACTCGGAGACTCGGAGAGAGAGCAGTGTGTGCTTGAGCTGAGGGATGATGGCGGCAGCGCTGGAGAGAGGAGGGCTTCGGGCCGCTTTCCTGAACCCGGCCAGCGGTGGAGGAGGAGCGGCTCTCCCTGCAGCGGCTCCGGGGGCTCCGGGGGCTCCAGTGCCCGGCCCGGGGCTCTCAGGGTCTGGGCTCTCCGGGGCCATGCCCGTGTCCATGAACCTCTTCGCCACCTGGGACATCGACCGCTCCTCTCCGAGCTGCGTGCCCCGGTACGAGCTGTGTGTGTGTGTGTGTGTGTGTGTGTGAGAGAGAGAAAGAGAGTGTGTGAGCTGTTTGTTTGTTTACTGATGTCCTGCATCTCTGCTGGTCGCGGTCACTGATGTGAGTGAAGTTTGACAGTATGACATCATGTTTACCACAGCACACTGTAACAGTATTGGTAATATACAGTGATTTGTCAGAGTGAGTTTACATTATTTTAACACATGGCACTGGAGATCATATTCGTGTAATATTTACATCTGATAGTCAAATCATCGTTCTGTCATCCTCTACTCTCCCTCATATGGAATCCCATGTTTGGCTAAATCTTAATTATGACATAAAAAATCTAAATTATGAGATACGGTCGAAATTGTGACGTAAAAAGTCCTAATTATGAGATTAAGAAGTTAAAAGTATGAGATGGAAGTTGAAATCATGACTTTTTATGTCATAATTAATTTTTTTAGTTTTATGCCATAATTTCGATTTGTGTCATAATTAAGATTTTCCAATGCATGATTATTTTTCTGATGTGGCATACATGATCTTCCACGCTCATGTTTTTCAAACCTGTGAAACACAAAAGATGTTTTGAAAAATGTCTCAGTGCTTTTTCTCTATGGAATTAAACTCAATGGGGTCCAAAATGTGTTTTGCTCCAGATATCTTGTGTTGTGTCCCACAGAACACAGACAGTCGTACCGGTCTGATAGTGAGTGTGTGTTTTCTGGTGAACTACTGTAGAGAAGATCACGGTTTATGAGCTTCGGTTAGCGTTGTGTCGTGTGTTTGTGCACATCTGTGTGTGTTTGTGCACATCTGTGTGTGTTTGTGCACATCTCTGTGTGTTTGTGTGCATTTGTCTTGTTATGAACAGCTTCTCACGGCTGATGAATTCTAGAACACACACTCCTGCAGCTCAGGAATTTTTTAAGGTGCTCTGGATAAAGCGTCTGCTGATGTGTGTGTTCATCGTTTCTCGATCCGCATCACTAGATTGACTCAGTTCTTGTGTTTCCCGTTTCCTCCTGGATCCGACTCTCCCTGAGGAATTCCTGAATGTTTTCTTTCACCCCCGTCATGATAGTGGGTTGACGAAGCGCAGGCAGTGTGAGACTCTTCCCATCTCTCTCTCTCTCTCTCTCTCTGTGTGTGTGTGTGTGTTTCTTTGCTCAGAAACACTGATAGATTATAAAGACTGAGCAGAAACTGACTGAGCTCCAGATGTGCAGCTCCATTACTCAGAGCTGACCCAGATGTGTCTCTGAGTAGAGTAATCCGTGTGTGTGTGTGTGTGTGTGTGTGACTGTGTGTGTATTTAGTAATATTGCTGATATGACTGACAGATAAGAACTGAATTGAATAATGACACTATAGTTTGCATCATTGATTCTGTTATTTTCAGTTCATGCATTCTCTGGGAGTCGACCCTGTGTCCGTGGCGTTGCGAGCTTGAGGAATAGCAGTGTGTTGCAGACAGACATATACACATATACACTATATTGCCAAAAGTTTTGCGACAACTGGCTTAACATGCTCATGGACTTTAATGACATCCATTTCCTGATCCGCAGGGATTAATATGGAGTTGCTCCACCCTTTGCTGCTATAACAGCTCCAACTCTTCTGCGAAGGCTTTCCACGAGGGTGTTTATAGGAATGTTTGACCATTCTTCTAGAAGCTCATTAGTGAGGTCCGGCACTGATGTTGGACGAGAAGCTCTCAGTCTCCGCTCTAACTCATCCCAAAGCTGTTCTATCGGGTCGAGCTCAGGACTCTGTGCAGCCGGTCCAGTTCCTCCACACCAAACTCCTCATCCATGTGTTTATGACCTGCTTTGGCACTGGAGCGCAGTCACGCTGGAACAGGAACATCAACGAAAAACCACAAAGTTGGGAGCATAAAATTGTCCAAAATGTCTTGGTCTGCTGAAGCATTAAAGGGGTCATATAATGGTACATGCACTTTCACAAGTTGATTGTACTGAAATGTGTGTTGGCAGTGCCTGTACACAACCATCATATAATGATAAATATCCATCCAGGGTTTTTGTTTTAATCTCCTTATATGTTTTCCCCTGCCTCAAATCCAGCCGTTCGTTTTTGTGACGTCAATAAAACGGACGCCCCTCCCACGAGTGTTGATTGACAGCAGCGTTCTGTCATCATAGTCCGCCATTGTTGATACGCTGGAGCAGAATGGGTCTTAGCGATTGTAGTGTTCTGTTCTTGGGTTTAATAACGAACACAGCAGTCATTTTGATGTTCCTTGTTTTCGAAGGGAATATTCCCACGAGCAACGTCAATGCTTTCATGTTTGCGCAATTCGCGAATCATTTCTCCCCAGACTGCTTTATAAACGAGGGTCAGTGTAAAGCTGGTTTTGCTAAGAAGCTGCTCCTGAAAAAAGAATCGGTACCAACTGTTTATGTTCCCTCTGCACCTCCAGAAGAAGTGAGTGTAAAATTTTATAATAATCTTTGCAAATCGCTTGCATGCTTCACGATGAATGCGGCTAAGGTTTACACTCAGGGTACATTACGGCACGTTTTATACGACGTTCTCAATATAATTCATAGGGGTGCTCCGATCAGGATTTTTGGGGCCGATCACCGATCGCCGATTACTGGAAGCTGTATCACCCGATACCGATGCCGATCACCGATTGCAGGGTCTATTTGAAGACTTCTTTTTATCATGTAGCATTACTTATTAAACTATATTTAACAACAATGTACATTAAGTATTACATTTAAGAGAAGACAATGCATAATGAATTGACACCTGTGTATTTATTTGCAAGCAACATGTATTAACATAGCAGCTTGGTTATTGGGAGCAGCTTAGGGCTTGACATACAACTTTCCTGTAGAATATAAAATAAAATGAAGTCTTTAAATTTAGCTTTAGACTACTTTAAACATTATTTTGACTATAGCCTTTTTTTGTTGCTGTTTTTAGTTTAGAGTCAGTCAGCCATCAGTTTTTCTAATACACTTAAAGGACCACAGGTAGTAAAGTGCACAGCAACAACAACAAAAAAAAAAAAAAAAAAACTAACAACTTCCATATCTGTATCTATAACTTTGCTTTTTTCTGGGATGCTTCGTCAGAATTTGTGGGCATTTAGAGAGGAAGAGAGAGGTAGACAAACCTTTGTGTGTGTGTGTGTGTGTGTGTGTGTGAAGAACCCTTGCAAAATTATTTTAAACAGATTAAGAAAGCCACCACTACTGGTCATATCTATGTTTAGATTGATTTTTTTAGATCCAGTGATTTTTTTAGATCCAGTGAAGTCTGTCCCACCATGTACCTAATATAAATAAATAAAACATCTTCAGTTAACTAGCAGATTATTCATTTAGTTCGCTATTAAATAAGAAATCTAGCGCTAAAATGTGTTTTTACACTCAAGCTGCGCGCTCGTTGCCGCGGCGATCAGTTGCATGGATACAGTGCTCTGTGTCTCGCGCAGGCTTCACTCGGACGCGCGCTTCAATCTATCGCCGTTGCGGACTCTATTCATTCCGGTGTAATCACAAAATAAAACACAAACGTATCCTTGCTTGATATAACTGTAACCGCAGATGAACATATTCAGTTTTGATGAGAAAAAATATGTACGAGTGATTTGACGGACGCACGGGGGTTGGATACATTTTTGTCATTGGTTGTTGCGTTAAATCTTACCCAGATACAATAGTGCTATTTTCTGATTGGCTATTGTGTAGCTCGACGAACAACACCAGAGAAAACGCGCTTGATTCATGCCGGTTCCACAGTGAGAGCAGCGCGGCCAGAGTTTCGGCCGCTGCGGCATATTAAATATATTACAAATAGTTTTTTCAGCGTGTGAATTACAATGTGTGGCGGGAGAGCGTGACAAAAGACCGAAATGAGTGACTGTCACGCTCAATGCTTGACACTTGAGAGCCCTGTTGTAGAATAGAATTGCCAGACCGGTGAAGCTATTTGTACCAGTGCGTAAAAAAATTGTCTCGCGAGTTTTGCGTCATCTGATCGGCTTTTCTGGATCGGCCTTTATAGAGACCGCCGATCACACATCCCAAAGCAATTATCGGCCGATTATGATCGGCGACCGATCATGATCGGCGACCGATCAATCGGAGCACCCTTAATAATTCATAATCCCACGTTTATAATGAACAACGCGTTATGGTTATTGTGTTATTACAAACTGAGTACGTATACATCAGTAACGTTAAACACATAGCGTTCGTACAACCAATCATCCTGTTCAAGCCTTAATTGTCGAACAACTTTGCGGCCGCCATCTTGTTCCGGGTCCGACTCCGGTTCAAACTGATACGGTTGCACAGATGTGTCCTCAGAGACTCGCTGCCATTCTCTCTCCAAAATATACCCTCAACTGTTGTCAAGGCAACACTCGTGCGTTGTGTCAAAGCGCCCGCAGAACAGAGGGGCGGAGTCAGCGAAGCTCATTATCATTTAAAGGCACATGCACTGAAACGGCGTGCTGAAAACAGAGCTGTTTTTGACCAGAGCTGTTTTAATTAAAGTATATTACAAACTTTTTATTTAGATTATAAAGAATCAAATTAACTTGGAAATGGCATTATATGACCCCTTTAAGAGTTCCTTTCACTGGAACTGAGGGGCCAAGCCTGAAAAACAACCCCACACCGTAATCCCCCCTCCACCAAACAACCCCGCACCATAACCCCCCCTCCACCAAACAACCCCGCACCATAACCCCCCCTCCACCAAACAACCTCGCACCATAACCCCCCCCTCCACCAAACATCTCCCCCCCTTAATCCCCCCTCCACCAAACAACCTCGCACCATAATCCCCCCTCCACCAAACAACCTCGCACCATAATCCCCCCTCCACCAAACAACCTCGCACCATAATCCCCCCTCCACCAAACAACCCCACACCATAACCCCCCCTCCACCAAACAACCTCGCACCATAACGCCCCCTCCACCAAACAACCCCACACCATAATCCCCCCTCCACCA